TGATAATTATTATGATACTTGACATTTATATCATGCATAGAATCACAAATTTAGAGTTATAAGTGACCCTAGAAACCATTGAGTCTAACCCCTTAATTTTGCATATGAGGAAACTGAAGCACAGAAATGTTGCATGACCTCCCCAAGATCACAGAAGTATTAAGTGGCAGAACAGGGATTTGAGCCCAGGTTGCCTAACTCTAAACCAAGCCCTTATTCCATTGCACCAAGCTTCCTCAATAAGTTTGCACAGTAAGTTCACACTATCTTAATTGACTCTTACTGCATCCATGGTAAGTAAGATGTATTTCTCTGTTGTATAGCTGCATTAAGTAGGTTAGGTTCATAGAGGTTAAGCTATCTTGGCCGAGATCACCTAGCCAAAGACAGAGAGCTGGGACATGGAAGTTCTGGAATGTGAATCCAGTTCTCCGAGTTCACACTCAGTACTTTTTCCACCTCATCTTGTGTACTCCCTACTCAATGCCTCCCATGTTTTGTTAAGTTAAAGTTACAAGATTTTAATTTTCTTGCCTATTATGGAAACAAATGGGTGAGTTAGCAGTGACACTGTCTAAAATAGAGGTATAGTTGTGTGAAACACACCTGCTCAGTAGTCTTGTGCTACATGGAGAGGTACCATCAAAAGCAGTAACCATCCTTTACTATGTTAGAGGACACCTATGCCTTGAGAACTTTGATAACAATGAGTATGCCTTCTCTGAAACTAAAGTTTAATTATTAATTACGTAATGTTATATTGAGGCCATCCATAAGGATTTTTATCCCTCTATTACAAGCTCTGTCTTCCCAACACAGTACAGTATTACAAATCCCCTGAACATCATCTTTATTCTCTTCTCCTTTGATCCAATTTTAGAGGAAGAAATGGCCACTCTCATTGTAAATACCAGCCCTTCTACTTGTGCCTTTAATCCCATCCCTTCCTAACTTCTCCAGGATCTTCCCCTCTTCCTCCCCAATTTTTAATCTCCTTATCAACTGACTCCTCTTTTACCTACAAACATACCCAGGTCTCTCCTATTTTAAAAACCTTCACTTGATCTTCCTACCTTCTCAGGTTACTATCCTATAGCCTCCCTTTCTTGGTCAGACTCCTGGAAAAAAGCTATCTATACTCATGGCTCCACTTTCCTATCTCTCACTTACTTCTCAGCCCCTTGCCATCTGGCTTTCAGCCTCACTATCACCTTAACTCCAGTGACCTTTTCTCATTACTTAATCCTTCTTTACACTCTTTGCAACATCAGTAAATCACCAAACATTTATTAAGCACCAGGCATTCTGTTGAGAGCTGGGGATAAGAAGAAAGGCAAAAACGTGGTCTCTGTCCCCAAAGAGTCCACACTCAAACAGGTCCTTCCTCTTTCTAGGTTTCTTATACCTCATATCCCACTACGTCCTCTATGATCCAGTCCTTCAAATCCATGGGTATGTACGATATGGAGAGTAGATGGAAGGTAATCTTGGAAGGAAGGCCCTAGCAGTAAGAGTCCCAGAAAAGGCCTCCTGAAGAAAGTGTCCTCTAAGCTGATTTTAGAAGGAATCCAGAGGCAGAGATGAGAGAGAGAGAGAGAGAGAGAGAGAGAGAGAGAGAGAGAGAGAGAGATGAGTGCATTGGAGGCTTGGGGAACAGCCAGGAAAGTCACAGATTTGGGGGATGGAGTGTCATGGGCAAGGAGCAGCAAATAGACCCATGCATCTGGATTGAAGGGCACATGTTGGAGAAGAGAGCGTAAGAAGCCTGGGAAATGAAGAAGAAGGTAGGCTGTGAAGGTCTTTAAGAACCAAATGGAGGATTTTGTGTATGTTCTTGGAAATCATGGGGAGCCACCAAAGTTTATTGAGTAGGGAAGCAGCAGGGTCAGACTGGGACTTTGACGACAATGGAGGGTGGATAGGATTTGGGGGGCGCCAGTCAAAAAACTATTGCAGTAGTCTAGCCATGAGGTGACAGGGACCTGTAGCAGGCAGGCAGCTGTGTGAGCAGAAAGAAGGGGATATAGGGAAGAGAGGGCACAAAGGCAGACAGGACTTGGCAGTCAGACAGCATACGTGGGGTGAGTGCAGGTGAGGAGTCAGGGATGACGTCCAGCTTCAGTGATTGGGAGAATGGTGGTGCCCTCTATGGCGAGAAAGAATTTGGGAAGAAGGGAGGGTTGGGGCCGGGGGTGAAGATAGTGATTTGTAGTTTGGATATATTGAATTTAAGGTGTCTGTGGGACATCCAGTTCAAGATGCCCATTAAGCAAGCATTTGGTGATCAGAGACTTCAAGTCAGAAGAGAGGTTAGCACCCAGTAATTGGATTGTGAATACTCTTCTAGTTCTAATATCTCTCTATAGACATATCAAACTCTCCCCGTCCCAAACATAACTTGTTACCTTTTCCCCAAACCCTCCTCCCCTTTTTCCTACTTCCCTTTTTTATTGAAGGCACTACCACCCTTCTAGCCACCCAGGTTTGAAACTGAGCAGTCCACTCAGACCATCACCTCCTTCCCACCAAAACCTTGGATTCTACCTCTGGAGCTACCCTGGTTTCTGACAGGCCAGCTCTCGCCTTACCTTACCTAGATGCAGTCATCTGCTGAACTTTCAGGCCATTTGCATGCTTTGCCATCCCTGCTGCATCCATCATTTCAACCTCCTACCCAGCAAACCTTGGACTTTGCCCTGGAACCAACTAGGCTCTGATGGGCCCACACTGGCTTTATCTTGTTCAAATCCAGGCCTCCGCTGCCCTTTCAGGACATTTCTACACCACGTCCCCAGAACATATCCACCACCACCACCCCCATCCCCTTCTAGTTCTTTTATTTGTTGCCTTCCCCCATTACAATGTCAGCTTCTTGAGAGCAAGGACTGTCTTGCTTGCTTCTGTTTTTATTTCCAGCACTTAGCTCAGTGCTTAGCACATGGTAAACACTTAATAAATGCCTTATCTAGCTGTCTAGCCTCAACTCTTCCCTCTTCCTTACCCCTCATATTCAGTAAGTTGACAAATTTTGCCAACTCTTCCTTTGCAATATATTTTGCATTCCACCCTTTCTATTTACTCACTTGGCTACATATTCTTTTTTTTTTTCTTCTTTAAAATTAAATTTTATTTTCTAGTCAACAAAGGTCTACCTTCTCACCTTCTTTTCTCTTCTCCCTTACCCCAGGATTGGGGGGGGGGAACCCTCTTTTACTAACATGTATAGTCAAGCAAAATATATTCCTATACTGGACATGTCAAAAAAAAAATGTCTCAATCTGTACTGAGTGATTCACCTCTCTCTCCCCCTGGAGGCAAATAGCAGGCTTCATCAGGAGTCCTCTGGAATCATGGTTGAAAATTGTGCTGATCAGAGTTGTTTGTCTTTGTTGTTTCTTTCTGTTGGTTCTGCTCACTTCACTCTGCATCAGTTCAGTTAAGTCTCCCTAAGTTTTTCTGAAACCATCGCCTGTATCATTTCTTACAGCACAGTAGTATTCCATCACATTCCTGTACCACAACTTGTTTAACCATTCCCCATTGAGGATTATGGTCTCTCTCAGTTTCTAGTTCTTTGCCACCACAGAAAGATCTAATATTTTTGTACCTATGAGTCCTTTACTTCCTTCTTTGAACTCTTTGGAGTATGCTGGATCCAAAGGCACATATGTACAGATTAATAGCCTTGGGGCATATTTCCAAATTGCTTTCTGGCATCAGCTGCCTATTGTTACTGAGGCCCGCCTGCATCTTGCCTGGACCACTGTGGGTGAATCCTCATGAGTCCCCAACGCTTCAGCCTCTTCTGTCTCTATTTCATCTTCCACATACTTAGCTGGCAACATGGTATTCCTGGCATACGGGCCTGGCTGTGCCGTTCCCCTGTTCCAGAAGCTCTCCAAGAAAGTCCTCTGTTTGAGACCCTTCACAGTCTCCCCAGTTCACCTTTTCACCCTTTACAAACATCTCATTCCAGCTGAACCATCCTGCTTGGTGGTCCTCTCACACAATATTGGATTTCTCATCACTGCCTAAATTGTCCTTGTCCTTACATACCCTAAGAGAATCCCTCACCTGCTCAGGGTGCTAATTCCATGCCACCCCACCCCAGGAAGCTGGAGCCTCCCCAGGATGTCACTTTATCGATATTTTGCATTTGATATTCTGTGGAGATGTTATGCCTCCCCCAATGCAATGCATAGTCTCTGAGGACATGGACGCCTACCTTTTTTTTGTCTTTGTATCCTCAGCGTGTAACATAGGGCCTGGGACATAGTAGCCACTTAATACTTGTTTGTAGATTGAATGATTGATTGCTAGGTGCTTAACAGATCCTTATTGGATGAAAGTGAATGAATGATGCAGCTATATTTGAAAATAAATCTCTATTGGACGCTAACAAAAGCAGGCATTTAAAGTTTTCTTTTATTCCTACTTACCTAAAAAATGGGTGTTTTAAATTTGAAAGGTATATGATTCTATAAGAAAGCCAGTTTTCTTCTATAAGACCAGAATGTAATTGTATGAGGAAGGATTTTAGTCTGCTTTACAAAATAGGAATCCAGGAGTATTGTATGTCATATATCTTCAATTAAAAGAGGAATATACTTCATATGAATTTCAGCTTTCAGAATCATATGAAGCAAATCAGATAAAAGATTAAAATGCTCTGCTGGATCGTTTGATTTTTCTTATACATTTATTTATACTGAATATGATATTTCACTGCCTCCTCCCTTCTCTGTCTCATATTTTTGGAGCTATTTGTTCTGCACCTACTAATAAAATTTAAAAATTAGGTCCTATCTCTGGAATCACAAGATTAATTTGAAAGCTTAAAACTTAAAATGTGTTCCCATTAAAGCATATACTATGTTGTTTATTCTGTTAACTAGATATCGTTTTTTCCTTTATCACATTACATCTACAAATTCCTTGTATTGCTGTTGTAATTAAGATTTTCTGAGGATTTTTTGTTTGTTTGTTTGTTTTATTTTCAGGCGATGGGTCCGACTGCTTTTTGGACGAGAATTCCCTCTTCAGGATCTCCTGGTTGTCTGGGATGCTTTATTTGCAGACAGCATCAATCTGGGCTTAGTGGACTATGTTTTTGTAGCTATGTTACTGTATATTCGAGATGCATGTGAGTATAAATTACCTCATCTGCACTAGAATAAATTAGTCTCTTTTTAGTTATTTTGCTTTTTTAAAAACGTTCTCTGCCTTTAAATATCTGACTTACATATGCTTAAAATTGTGTGATCAACAATTGATTGGAATTTTAGCTGAACATACTAAACATAATTTTTATTAGCCAGGGTGTATGTATTGCAGTAGGTAGTGTTTTAAGAATTTTTTAATATTTTCTGAGCCAGGTTTCTAGAAAATACAACCTCTGGTTTAGCCCTGCTCATTACAGAGAGCATCGGATCACATACACAAAAGACAGTAAGACAGACATGTACAGAGCTCCACCTTCTGACAAATGGGGGGTATCTTCTACAGAGCTGGAAAACAGTTTGTAGCACTGACTTTTTAACAATGAGAATTCCAGGCACCGAGGCTTGCCTTTCTTTCTGTTATTGTTCACACAGTATATTCCCATCAAGGTAGGAGAATGTGATCCTACCCATCTCCCAACTTAACATTTTGTAATCTCTGATTGACAAGAAATCTATGCATCCTATCTTGAGCAATCTTGTCAGTCTTTTACATGAAAAAGTTTCAAAGTGTACTTAAAATTTCCCCCAAAGGAGTTGTTTTCTTTCTAGTAATAATAATCACTCACAAAATGAAATTAGAGAGAAAACATATTGATAAGAATTAGCAAAAGATAATTTCTTGAGGAAATCAAGAAATAGAAGGCTATAAGGGGAGAAAAAACTCCGGTAAAAATTGTCCAATTTCTTGGGACATTACCTAGTGCTAGAAAGATAGATTGTTTGGGTAAAGGAAGATCAGGCCTTTGATTAAAGAAGACTGAAATGCATGTTCTGCTTATGACACATACTTACCCTGTGTTCCTGGGCTAGAACTGAATTTCCCCTTGCCCCCTCATAAGGTGCACAACAGTAGCTGATCTAAATTTGTAGCAGCACCAAAGAAATCGGAGATCCAGGCTAAAAGTAAAAATTTCCAATATTGACTGATTAAAGAATACTAATATCCATTAAAAGTTCAAGTTAAAATCTATTTCATTCTCGAAAAATGTATTTAAATGAATTTTGATTTTTTTAAAGTCCACAGAACAGTACGCTCTTCATACAAAATAAATTTTGTATCGGTCTTTGAAGTTTAACTAATTCAGGCTTTGTCAGGCTAAGTAAAAAGTTCATCCTAGAATTCTTATTTGTCAGGCAAAACTTACCAAAGAACAAAGGGATAACAGAAAGTATCTGTAAAGTGACAGGTCTTAGGATAATCAATTAAACCTATCTCTCATTTAAAAAATATATATTCTTGTGAAATACAAAAAAGGAAAATAATTAATGTCCACGAATCTTTTTTCAGGAAGTGACTTACTGCTGGTTATTATTTTCACAAATCTTAATGAATCAAATTGCTGTTGAAATTTATTCAGAATTTTGGAAACCTTTGACAAATATTTTCTTTCTTTGTCCTTTCTTAATTATGAACCTCATAACTGCTGCTTTTAATTAGTTGACTGACTTTATGGCCTGTGACTGTTCTTTGTTTTATTAATTTATATTCCAGTTAAAATAATAAGTTCCTGAATAGTTCGTTGATCATAGAATTGCTGAAATTTGAAACTGGAAAGAATTTGAGGAATCTTATATTTCAATTCCCTATTTTTGAAGAAGAGAAAAATACGCTCAGTGATTTTACGTGGTTTTTCTAAAGTCACACGGCCCATTAGTGACAGAACCAGAATGCAAATGCCCTGCTTCCCTATTGAATGATTGCTACAATTATACTGCTGCTATTAAACCACTGAGATCAGGGGTTCTTAAAATCTCTGGAGCTGGAAGGACCATCTGAGGCCATGTTCTCCACCTCCTCGTTTTACAGTCTTACACAGGAAATGCCAGGTTTAGAATGGAACCCAAGGCCTTCTCTCTGGATGATGCTGCCTTTCATTTTCACCAGGTGCTCTAGAGACAGAGAAGGCAGTAGTTAGAGGAGCTGGATTCAAATCTTGCTTCTGACACTTCCTGGGTAGCCTTGAACGATTATCTCTTCTTCTGCCTCAGCTTCCTCCATGTCAGAATTTGAGTTAGACCAGATAGCACAGATTTCCCTTTCACCTCGAGAGCTATGACCTTATAAAATTTTAGTTCTCATCTTCAATACAACTCATTTGAATGTAGTAGTAAAGGAAGTCACCATCTTTCAGCAGATGGAGCCACATAGAATTCAGGAATTTCATTTATAAACCTATTCTCCTGTGAATTTTCTGTATCATCCTGGACCCGTTATGGGCTTGATTTTTTTCCCAAGTTTTCCTAGAAGTTATAGCTCTATTTTAAAGGGGCAATAATTACATAGTATTCAAGTAGATGAAATAGTAATATTAATTTAACATCATAGTGTAGAATATCTACAGTCACTTGGAAACCCACCTCTTTGGACGACCTGATTGTGTAACCCCAAGATTTGTTGACCAGCAGCCTCATCACGTCTGCTGCACTGGGTGAGCTGATGACAGCTAGCAAGACTAGTGATAAAGATAATATCTTTGCGTATTAGATGTGTGAGTGAATTTTTTTAATATGAGATATGATTATATCCACATGTCAGAATAAGAATATTTTAGGAGACTTCACAATCAGCAGGTGAATTTTTTAAGCCGCAAAGACTCATGAAGACTGTCGTGTAGAGGTCAGTCAGTTGGAGAGGTGAAGGGTAATATCCAGATCCAGGCAATTACAGGTGTCTGGGAATAACAAAAAAGGACCAAACATTCTTTAACTTTCAGCAGCACCTTCAGTGTCCATATTACTTCAGTCAGCTTCAATCTGTCCAGTCTTATAAAATAATTATAGACAAATAGAATCAGGATATTGGAGTAAAAACACAGAAATCCCAGTGAAAGCCTCATGTTCTTTGTCCTCAGTAAGTTTATTTTGAAAATAATCTTTACAGTACATTACCCTAAATCATCTTATAATTTTCATGTTTCATCATTTAATTCAAGTGACCACCGAGGGAAAAAACACAAGACGACATTTTAAATACTTTTGCCACCAGTCATTTCTGACCTGCCTTCCTTTTGTCAGACAGAAATAGGAAAACTTAATCATCTTAAATTTCCATAAAATGTATTGTTAATTCAGAATTTTATAGAGGACTAAGAAGAAAATTTCTTCCAGAGACTTATAGAGCAAATAAGTTAATAAAAGGGATAAAAAGAATGTATGGAGAGTGGTTTAGTTTACTAAATGGTTGAATGAAAAAGGACCTGAAAGTGTTTTAAATGAGCTAGAGGAAAAAGGTTTGGATCATTGTGAAATGGTGAGCTGTGTGCCTGTCTGTAAAATGAGGATTCTGATGCTTGAGCTAATTACCTTATAGGACAGTGATGACAATTCCACTTTGTAAACATGAAAGCATTTTGTGATTCTCCGTTCCCCTAACATTAAAATAATGGAATCATGGACTATCGACCTTTATCATCTTCCTGCCATATTTTACAGTTGAGAAAACAAATTCAAAAATGTTAGTTGATATCCCCAAAGTCACAGCCAGGATTCAAACCCATGTATCCTGATTCTCAATATAATGCTTTTTTTGGTACCTTTTTTTCTGGTAAAAATATATTTCAATTATTTTTGTATAAACCTATGAAAAATATTTGCTTTTCTAAATCTTGGGCTATATCTGGATTGTAATCATAAGTGATGTATTGGATTCATTATTAAAACAACCTTAAACATTTATATGTCTATACCATCTAGTGCAAAATACAAAGGAAAATAACAGATTTAGATGACATTATTACAGCCTTCTTGAAGCCTAAAATCTATTAAGGAAGTAAGCTGACAGTTGTTGTGAGGCCAAATTCTACAGAAAATACCCATGTCCACAGCAGTCATAATAATAATGTGTTATCCCTATAGTACTAAAATTATCACAGGTACGCTTTTAGGTGTGTGGATTTTTCAAAGATACTTTCTCTGATTACAGTTGATATTTTAAATTATACATCTTGTACATGGAATGACATTTTTCCATAGCATATTTTGTGATATGTATACTTCTACTTCACTATTTAGATATGAAAACTAAAATACTGTAAGACAAAGAATTACTTGAACAATTTATCAAATTAGTTAGAATGATGAATTTGTCTTTTATTTTTCATAACCATTTTTTCACACTTCTCTTTTGGTAAATGCAGGAGTTTCTTGCTTGTCAGTTTACTTATTCCTCGTCATACCATTTGACCTTCTAGAGCACTTTTCAGCTTGTACAGCATTATGCTGAAGTCTTCTCACCCATTTCCATTCATGCTTTGATCTATAGAAACATAGTTATATTCTTATTGTTTGCTTATTGATTTGAAATTCTGTCTTGATTCTGGAGCTGCGTGGAAGGCCTATCTTTCTGTCATTGTCCATATGGCCTACCCTAAGATTTCTGTTTCTGTTCCTTCATTTTCTTGTTAAGAACATGCTCAGCATCAAGTCAGTCTGTCAAAAATAAATTCGTTTCAATTGCTAACTGAATTTATTTGACTTTTACAGGGAAACCTCACCCAATCAAGTCATAAATTCTACCTAATCCTTTGGTTTTTTCTTAAGGAGTGGTCCTTAATCTTCTTGGTCTTTGTTGTTTTCTTTGAATTTTAGATATCAGACTGTTATCAGAGATATTTGATATCAAGATATTCTTCCTACAATATATTTTTTCTTCTGATTGCAGTTGTACTTATTTATGTAAAAGGTTTTAAAGTTGTATATTTTACCTTTTATGATATCTTATAACCCATTTTCCAGATTAGAGCTCTGTCTTCTACCCATAATCACTAAAATTTCAGCCTTCTGTCTCCTCTATTTTTTTTCCTGGCAGAACTTCTTATATTTTGGTTGTTGATCCATTTGGAATTTATCATGATATATGGTAAAAGATGGTGTTTTAAAATTATTTTCTGTCATATCGATTTTGAGTTTTCACAGTTCTTTC